GACTTTAGATGACACGCCCTTTAATTAAACAACAAGCATGGATCCAGTTGAGTACAAAGTATGCGAGGGGGTGTTAATACCTTCCTCTCGCATAACCGGCTCTCAAATCCAAGATTTGGTTGCGGTGAGCTTGTCTTCTCCCTTCTTTCAGGTTTTCTTCGATCGTTTCCTTTCCCCGCATTGGGATAAATAATGTTCAATGGCGAATCTTCTATTTTTCTGCCAGGTGTTTTTCGTAGTTGTGACAGGTGTTACCGTACGTAAACCAGAAGCACAATGGAATAAAAAGGATTAGAAATTACATGATTGGAAAGTGCAAAATATTATTACATCCATTTTAGTTGTTGATGAGTATTATCGCGTTTCTCATTGTGAGACCGCCAGGGCTATGTGGGACGCATTAAAAGTTTCCCATAAGGGTACTAATGATGTCAAACAAGCTAGGATCAACACATTAAATCAAGAGTTTGAGAAATTTCACAAGGAGCATGGTGAAACAATTGCAGACATGCGAAAATAGTTCACACATCTTATCAATCGATTGAATGCGCTAGGTAAGCCTATTTCGAATGATATTGCTACTAATAAAGTGTTGAGATGTTTAAATAGGGAATGACAACCCAAGGTCACCGCTATCAAAGAGGCGAATGATCTTAAAATAATTGATCTCACGACTTTGTTTGGAATTGGAAAAGTATGAGTAAGAACTCTCTTGCTTGGAAAAACACGAAAAAGAGTATGAAAAGAAAGTGAATAAAGAGAAAGGTAAAGACAAGGAAGTAGAGAAGAAGTATATTTCTCTAAGGACTTCAACTCTAGGTCATCCCACAATGATCAAAGTGATGGTAAAAGTGAAGACGAAAAAAATTTCTATGATGGGGATATGGGGCTGTTTGTAAAAAGATATCATAGGTACATAAGGAAAAATGGAGTTAGAGACTCCAACAAGAAACTGGTCAAATTTAGAAGGCTAACAATCTCCTCAAGAGATGATGAGGATATAAAAGGTACACTTAGAAGATCTTGCTATCATTATAAGGAATTAGGTCACTATAGACCGGAGTGTCCTATGAGGAAGAAAGAAAAAGAGAGGAGTCGTAATAATAAATCTAGCAAGTCTAGAAGAGCTTATGCCGCTTGGGAGAGTGCAAGTGATTCCTTAAGTGATGAAAGTACAAGTTCAAGTGATGAATCGACTAGGATTTGTCTCATGGAAAATAGAAAGAAGAAGAAAAATGTAAGTCTTTCTAAGCTTGAATCTATTAATGATTTATCTTATTCTCAATTACAAAAGACCTTTAAAGATCTTCATAGAGAAGCCTTAAGAGATTTTAACAAGTTAGCTTCACATGAAAAAGTCTTTTTAAATTTAGAAGCTAAAGTGTTAGAATCCGAAAGGAAGTTAGAAGCTATTAATAAATCTATGATAGATATTTAAAGTGACAAGAGTGAATATGTAAAACCTTTTAGGTTTGGTTGTGAACATTGTTACAATTGGAAATAGGAGGTCAATACTCTTCAAGTCAAATTAAACAAAGCCTTACATCCTAATATTGCATTTCTATTGTAGATCATTACTCAAGATTTTGTTGGGTCATATTTTTGTCTAGTAAAGATGATATATATCCGGATTTTAAATAATTTGCTAGATTGTTCCAAAATAAGATGAATTTGAAAATTATTTCCATCCTAAGTGATCATGAAGGAGAATTTCAAAACATTCTCTTTAAGAAGTATTGTGATAACACATGGAATTGAGCATAACTTTTCCGTTCCTAGAACTCCACAACAAAATGGTGTTATGGAGCGCAAAAATTGTGTTTTTGAGAAGTTGGCGAGGACTATGCTTAATGAAAGTAATTGCCTAAGTATTTCTGGTCTGATGCCATTAACACGGCTTGTTATGTCTTGAATAGGATTCTAATACGTTCTATCTTAGATAAAACCTCCTATGAACTACTTAGAGATAGAAAACCTAATGTTTCTCATCTACACGTTTTTGGATGTAAATGTTTTATTTTGAACAATGGAAAGGGCAATCTTGGTAAATTTGATGCAAAAGTTGATGAAGGTATCTTCCTCGAATACTCATAATATAGTAAAGCGTATAGGGTTTATAACAAAAGATTACATATTGTCGAAGAGACGGTACATGTTACTTTTGATGAGTATTACCCGAAAAATCTTGGGAAAGGTGTTTCTTTTCATGATGTAGGTGTTTTTTCACAAGAAACTTTCAATGGAACCGAATAAGAAATTGATCAACCGAAAGCGGTGGACCATGAGAAGGAAGAAGATAATGATCATGAAGAGGAGAAGGTTGAAAGTCCAGCTGCAGTGGAAGATCTACCTTTGACTTAGAAAACATCCAAAGATTATCCTATTGAAAACATTCTTGGAGACATCCCAAAGGGCGTAACCACGGGCTCCAAGATAAGTAATTTTTGTTATCACTTTGCGTTTGTTTCCCAAGTGGAACCTAAAAATCCTAAATATGCATTACTTGATGAGCATTGACTTATGGTCATGTAAGACGAACTAAATCAATTGAGTGACGTTTGGGACCTTGTCTTTCGTCCTAAAAATCATCAAGTAATTGGCACCCGATGGATTTTTAGAAACAAGTTTGACGAAAACGGAGTGATAACCTGCAATAAAGCCCGGATAGTGGCTCAAGATTGCAACCAAGATGAGGGCATCAACTATGAGGAAACTTATGCTTCGGTTTCTCTCCTTAAGGCTATACGCCTTCTACTAGCCTACGCTTGTGCCAAAGAATTCAAATCATTTCAAATGGATGTGAAAAGTATGTTCCTAAATGGTTATATGAATGAAGAAGTGTGTGTAGCTCAACCCCCCGATTTTGAAAGTCATGAGTATCCAAATCATGTATACAAGCTCAAAAGAGCTTTGTATGGCCTCAAACAAGCCCTTCGGGCTTGGTATGAGCGACTAAGTAAAATTTTAATCGATCAAGGATACTCTAGGGGAAAAGTAGATACTACACTTTTTCATTAAGCGCCAAGGAAAACATACTCTTCTACTTCAAGTTTATGTTTATGATATTATCTTTGGATCTATTAACATGCAACTTGTAAAGGAGTTTTCTAACCTTATGCAAGGAGAGTTTGAAATGAGCCTTATTGGGGAGTTAAATTACTTCCCTGGTCTTCAAATCAAACAACTAAATGAACAGACATTTGTATGTCAAACCAAATATTGCTTGGACTTGCTAAAGACATTAGGCATAGATGATGCAAAATATATTGACACTATGACCACTAATGAGAACTTGGTAACAAGCATATTTATGTTGTACATTGGAGCAAGATTGCAAAATCCAAAGTCAATGGTGACCTTGGTATAAGGTAGTTGAAAGTGATGGGAAAAGTTTGCCTAGTTAAAATTGGTTGAAATCTTTTCAAGGAGGATAATGCTCTTTGAAAGAAGGTTCTTATAGGGAAATAATGTTAATGCTGGAAGTACTGAAGCCAAACAACAAAACTCGGGCTTGTGGAAAGTTTTGGTTCAGCCTATTATTGATAGTCAACTAGTATGGGAGGTTGGAAATGACAAAACTATTAAAGCCTGAAATGATTGTTGGATTACTCAAAGGCTTAGGCCATCTGAAAACTTCAAGTGCTTCAATGGGTCAAAAATTTCATATGACTAATACACCACAATGGCTTGAAGATTGAGCAATTACTTGCTCAAAGAAACATATATAGCCCTAATTGTGAAATGTGTTGGTGTGCAGGAAATCCACGCTCAGATTGTAAAAGCATGAAACATATCTGAAAAGAACTTGTTCATACAAACAAATGGGATACTTTCTTCAATTCAATGGAACATGATTCTCAACCAGCTCTCAAGAGGCAAACTCTTGGCTAGAAACATGGGCCAGAGCGTGTCATGTTTTATGGCATGGGCTGTAGTAAACTTATGTAAAAGAGACTAATGGGCTATATTATATTACCAGATATTATATTTCTTTTTCACCACCCTCGATTCATCATGATAATATTAATGCTAGCACGTGTATCATATTACTTCCACCGTTTCTTTATAAGCACAAGTGGTGTATTTTCTATTATAGTATTAATAGTTATGACTTGATTTTCTTATATATTAAATCAAATCACATGGAAATATTATTTTTGTAAATTGATTTATGAGTATTTTTCTAAATATTTATATAACCTAATTTAATTTGTTTAAATGTATATGTAAAATGAAATTACACATGATGCAGAACTATTAATCTTATTTTATATATCTTTAAAAAATAGTGTATATTTTGTGTATAACTCTATTAAATTATTTTTTGTATATTGATGTATATAACACTACCTTTACTTTTAAATATATGTATTTCTTTGCATAAATTACGAAAATTAAAAAAAAAATAGTTTTGATGCTAAATTTATTAATAATTTGTATTGTTTTTTATAAATTTATTACTATTAAAAAAATATATTTCCAATAAAATAAAAAATAACGTATACAATTAAAACTTTAAAGACGTCAGAAATTAAAATCTTATATTTATAAATTGAAGTAGTACTAATTTTTATATAGTGTGAATTATAAATGTCGTTAAAATTATAATTATATATAAGTATTTGATTATTTATTTTTAAAATTTGGAATTTTGATTATTAAAATATAAAATATAAAACAGTATTAATAATTATATTTAAAAATATATATTAAATACCCGTGCTAATTTAACAGAAGGTTTATATTTTAAAGACAAACATTTCTTAAAAAAAAAAAAACTTATAATTAGGGGTAGATATAGTACTTATTTTATCATTTCACAAAACTAAATGCAAGTTTTCACATAGCCAATAATAAATCTTGATGATAAATGAGGTAGCTCTCCTACCCTCATCAAAATTCTATAAATGCTCCCACTTTCTCTCTTTGTATTGTTCCATTATCACTCCTCTCTTTAATTGGCCATATAGTACAATACACCTAGCCCCTCTTCTTCAAACATGGCCATGGCAAAATTACTTGGTGCTTTGATCTTGATCCTCATTGCAATTTCCATGCTTCAAACAATGGTTAGTTTTTCAAGTGAGACTAGAAGAAACTCATATCTACATGATTAACATGCATATATAAGACACTCATTTTTCAATATGTTCTTTATTTTTGGGGTTTTGATTTTTTAGGTTATGGCTTCTCATGGACATGGAGGCCACCACTACAATGACAAGGTATGTGGTTTGTTTTCCCTTCTCTTTTCTCTCGTTCGGATTTAAAATCTTTGAAATACGAGAATTTCAGACTTAAAAATTTTGTAGTTTGAAATTCTCTATTTATAAAGTTAGAATTTGAAAGTATCGGGATAAGATCTTTTCCATTTTCAAATGGATGTATAGAGTAAAGATCTGGAGAAAAATATTTAGATTGAGTTTCTGAAATTTTAGTTTATGAATGTTTGAATTAATTGTTGACATATTGTTTGATATTTATGTGTTTTTTCAGACAAAATATGGACCTGGAAGTCTTAAGAGTTACCGTAAGTAAAGTTTCTTCTATACATTCATTTGATTGTTTCTTCTTCTTCTTGGATTTTATAGTAAATCATGTAAAATTCTTGGATTTTATAGTAAATCATGTAAAAAAATGAATCAATTAAGACAAAAAAACTATTCAATTTCACATGTTAAATGTGGTATAAGATCAAAATTGTTAATTTTATAGTAGGTATGAAATATGATTATTTTCTTAGATTTATATGATTCCCTCCAATTTTATATATAAATAAATAAATAAATAAATAAATAAATATATATATATATATATATATATATATATATATATATATATATATATATATATATATATATATATATATAAAACTAATATTGTGAGACGGTCATGATTTTGTCTTTAAGAACGTGTATGATAAATTATTATATATAATTCAAAATTTGACACAATAAAATTATATTTTAAAAGTATTTTATAAAATATTTGGCACTATTAAATTATGATAAAATAAAAAATTTATTTATTTTATTGCATTTAAACTATGAATAAACTATTCAGATTTTCAAAATTTTAAGACGATAGATAGACTCAACTTTATGGTTATAAGCCTCATTTTAAACCTATTAATCTTATATGTGAAAAATCAATTTTTATTTATATGTGAAATTTGAGAGTGAAGTGAATCTAAATTTTCTAAAAAGTTATATTTTAATTTTTTTCTTTAAATAGAAAATAGTTCTACCCACTTAAATATGTTTCACCAAACAGCATACTATTAGTTTTCACATTAATACCATTGTCTCCTACCTAGTTGCATTTGCATTGGATCCATTTCTACATTAATTATTCCTTTAGCTTTAAGCTTTAAATAGTGGCCAGATTTATTCTTGGAAAAAGCTGCATCTTTATGAGTGTTTGAATTTGATATAACCTTTTTCATTTCCCTTTTTGTTGTGTGATATGACCAGAATGCCCATCACAATGTTCAAGAAGGTGCAAAATGACCCAATACCACAAGCCATGCATGTTTTTTTGTCAGAAGTGTTGTAATAAATGCTTGTGTGTGCCTCCGGGGTATTATGGAAATAAAGCTATATGTCCTTGCTACAACAATTGGAAGACTCAACAAGGAGGACCAAAATGCCCTTAAGTTTGTTTTTCATCAAATTAAATTAACAAAATTACATGTTATTTTTAGTTCTATGTAATGCCTTGTTGAATTGAGATGCTTTTTATAATGTGTAGTATTATGATTTTTACTTGGTAAAATCTAATAGGGTGTTTAAGAGACTCTATTTAATAAGATAAGACTTTTATTGTTGGTGTAAACTCTAAAAATGTTATTAATAAAAAAAAATCTAAAAAATGTTATTTTTGACATGTTATTATATAATGTTTCCAATTTGACTTGAACAACACTAATGCTTTTGAGGTTGTAATTCCTAATTTACATTGGGAAACTCTCCTCTCAATTTTTTTTCTTCTTCTAACCGTTTCCATCTCCTCTCAATTTTTTTTCTTCATATAAGCATTTTCATTCAAATTTTAAAAGGGTTTAGATTCTAAAACCTAAATGTGGTGAACCCAATAAATGAACATAATAAAAATAAAAATTTGATTAAATCAAATCAAATTCAATAATATAATACATTGATAGCATATTCAAAGATATTCAAAGACTTTGTTTGAGAATTTAGAGGAGAGAGAAGGATTTTGAAAAATTGGAAGTGTTTTGAATTGTTCGTAAGGTCTGCGGACAAAGGCCAATCACGAGGCCCGATATGGAAGGTGCAAGCAACAAGCAAGAATAGGTGAGACCTCGACCAAGCACAAAGCATGTGGTCCTGACTTTCGACTTATCTCTCACCGACATATCTAATTGAACGACGACCCACACAACGCAACAGGCTAAACGTGAGCAGCTTAATCGCTCACTTTGTATAAACTCCACACGCGCTAGGTTCAAGTATCTTTTCCACTTTCATTCTAAATTGCTTCTTAAATACTTCACTAACTTAGGAGTTGGAGTGTTAACCTTGTGAGTCAATCTCGTTCTGTCGCATTGGAAGCACTCACCATTGCGCTAGAAGATCTCAATATGACCTTATTCCCTTTTTCTGGTTCCATGATAAAACATTGGTGTTGTATGTTAGATTCGATATCTAATTCCCTCAAAACTACGTGAGAAGTAGCTATTTCTCTACCACAATTTTGCAACTAACAATCTTATTTCAGTTTGAACGATCGATTGATCTCATGAAAGCCATATCATCAATGAAATCTCCTCGATTAGTCGTCTAACGCAGCGCCGCCTCTGCAACAATTAACATTATTGGTCTCGAGACCAAGGTTCCAATTTTTCCTACAGTCGAGGATAATCTGATATTGTTCAATTCTTCTTTCGCTCCTACTTCTTCGAATCCAGTTCATAGTTCCAAGTTCTCCCAGCCTTTTAGTCTTCCCAACTTTTGCTTCAAGGACAAACCTAAAAGCAACCTCTGACACCACTAGAGTTTTCCTAACAAGAGATACTTCAAATCCTCCAATGACTACAAGCCATCTTAGGCATGCTAGGGGTTATTAATCTGCTCCACAATGTTTACAACCTGGTGCAATAGAAAAATTTCACACTTCTTGATTGAGAGACTACTCTAAATCAAAGATAATATACAACATGTTCTCCTGATGGTCCGCTCTATAAGTAAAGCGGTATCACATGGAAAACAGAGAAATGCACCACAACCGATCTATGTTTATGCGAGTTCTCTATGCATAGGAGCCTATAGATCACCAGATCATATCAAGCATTGAGAACACTAGACTCCTCCATATAATTCTAGAGAAATAAGTGCAGTTACACTCCATCGAGAAGTCCATGTCCCTACCAATCACCATCACACGACTCCCTAAGAAAGAGTGTGAAATACGTTGAAGTACAAGTTCCTGACTATGTGAAACCATGTTTTACAAGTAATCAAAGAAGTTCTTAATAATGACAACTTTCATAAAAACTTCTACAACCTATGAGGACTAAAATATCACAAGCAGTTAAAGATACAAACATACAAGTTTGGATTTGATAATCACTACAAACATCCTCTAAGGATGATACTCAACATGAATAAATCTCAAGCCTCATATCCAGGAAGATTGAAGAAAATTTCTTTACGATGGGTTTACTTGACAAGTCTTGAAGCTTTAATGTATGAAAGAGAGGAAGTGTGAAAGCTCGTTTGGCGAGTGAACCATGTCTTATAAAAACACAAAGGGGTTTTTCGTAAAGTTATATGAGTAAATCACACACACACACGCACGCGCACACACACACACACAAAAAAAAACATACACACAAATATGTTTTAAGCCTTTATTTATTAAGAAAACATCTCTAACATGTTTTGGAGTCGTGCGAGTTGAATTAGGATATGCCATAATAGTTTTGGACAAAATTTAGTATTTTCCAATCGGTTGGCACTCATACCCAATTGATTGAGTTAATGCAAAAGTTTTCCTTAAACATTTGTGACATGTCTTAATAAAGGGAAACAACTCCAGATCTTTTCTTTCCTTGTTAACTTTCATAATCAATTAAAGTAAGTTGTCAATCGATTGACACATTAATTTTTTCCCATGAATTTTTTGTATGCCAACCTCTAGCCTATAAATAGAGATTTTGACTTCATATTTTGACAATCCAAAAATCGTGAGCTTCATATTTCACCTCTCTCCCTCTCTCTCTCTCTCTCTCTATTATGAATAATTTTATTTTATGGGAATGCAAATAAAATAAATTGTCTCAACTGCTATGTTTGAGAAAATTATTGAAACATAAAACTTGATGGATTAAAATACTACCAATTAAACGATTGAATGATAACTTAAAATAAAACTTGATGGATCCCCGTTCGCATACGTAAACTGACATCCCTACGCTCGCGGATGTCTAACAGAGTCGCCACCGAATGTTATTTATTCTCAAGGAAAGGGAAAATAACGATAAAACTCTAAGGAAAATAAAGGGTAAGATGGTCATCGCAACCAAATATGAGTTCATGAGTCGATTATGTGAGGAAAAGGTATTAGCACCTCTTACATCCATTGTACTCAATAGAAACCTCCTCTAGATCTAAGGGTTAAGGGTTTGTTAAGTCATGTTTGCGATTGTTTTACTTTATTTATTTATTAAATATATTTATAAAAATAGAAATTATTTACAAAAGATTAGGAAAAAATTAGTTTTTAATTATTGTGCTCGCCAAGGTTCCGAATCTTTGTTCCTATGTATTCTTAAAGTGCATTGAGAAAATCAGAGCATCATAGTTCGTACAATAATGATTATGGGTTGGTTGATTTCAGAGAATAGTGTTAGATCATATTTTAGCGGTTAAACGTATGTCTGTATACTCATAGGATAGAGGCTTAGACGTTGTTTGTATTCACGTTTAAACGTACCAGACTATTCTTTTATGAAAAGAGTTTGATTTTTTGGATGCCCATGAAAAAAAATAATTTGATGAGTGAGTGTTGATTTCAATTATAAAAACTTTTTGTTTTTATGTCTTTTGTTATTTTATATTTTTTATTACTGTTCTGGTCTGGGCCCAGCCTCGCGGTCCAGCCCAATAACGCACAAGGCCCAATAAGTGGAATAGCTTGACCAGGCGCACACCCCCTCGAACGGGCAGGATACGCTCCCCGCCGAGCGGGACGGCACGCCTCGAAGCGTCCTCGGCGCCCTTCTTTTAGCCGAACAGAACGCCCTCTGCGGGCGACATTCCCCGTGCCATCGGGCAGGACCCCATGGCTCTTACACGTCCTCGCGTTCTCCCCTCCTCGGGGAGAACAACGCCCCTCCGGGGAACCTCGCGAGCTCCCCTCCGCGGGGAAAACAACGTGCCCGGTGCACGTTCTCTACGTGCTCCCCTCCGCGGGGACACGTCATTCCCCAACTACCCACCTCCGAAAGAGCAGGTCAAACCCACTTTCCAGAGACCACGGGACAGTTGGACTAGGGCGAAGACCACGTCTTGGTCTTCACTACGCCACATAAGCCCTAGCAGTCACCTGGGTTGGGCCTGGCCATCTAGCCCAACACAGGTGACCGTTGGCCCAGCGCTGGGGTCTCTCTATAAATACCCTCTTCCTCAAGAGGGTCAGGTAATTCACATCTTGCCATTTTCTGTACTTTGCTCTCACTCTGTCCGATTCCTTACTTTGACATCAGAGTGTCTTGCAGGTACACCCCCCTTCTCTTCCTCATCACCGGTGAACAGGTAGCAGTCCAACAGCGTGTGGCCAGCCCGTGATCCCCTCCTGATCAGGTCAGATCAGTGGCGCCGTCTGTGGGAACAGAAACTTCCCCGTTACTTCGAGCAGAAAACCAAAGTTTCACCAGCACTCCACGGTCATGGCTAGCCCACACCACGACGATACCACGCACGACTTTGTGCTCAACGTCGCCACCAACGGAAGCAAGCAGATGGAAACGTCGCGTCCGGCGGAGACCGACGAGAGAGACGGCCAGACTGCCTCACCGTCATCCGCAGAACGGCTGCGCCAGGCCGACCACCGGCCCCCGAGCCCAGCAGCATTCCAACCCGTTCCTATTCCAGCGGGAGCGGACCCAACGGTGGCCGCCCTCTTTGCGGCCATCAACCAGACGAACCAGCTGTTGTTTCAGCAGAACGCACGAATTGGAGCGTTGGAGCGGGAAGGCCCTCCGAGGTCCCCCCCGCGGGAAGACCAGAATGGAGGCTCGAGGAGTCCCTCACCTCGACCCAGAAATCGCCGACCGCGGCTGGAGAGACCCCGAACAGAAGTGGTGCGAGAACGCACTAGATCCCCAGCGAGACAAGTTCGCGGGAGGCGCCAGAACACTTCGGCGATCCCCGCCAGGAATCCTCGCGGCGAACCCCCGGTTAGGAGGTCGAGGACCCGAAACCAGGTGCCTATTCTAAACGGCTCGTCTTCTCCTCAGTCACCCGCCCCTAGCGACAAGGACGACTATCGCACTCCATTGTCCCGGGAAATCATGGTTGTCCCCATCCCCCATGGGATGGAGAAGCCCCCGACACTATCAACGTACGACGGCACATCCGACCCGGACGATCACTTGGCAGACATCGAGGCCATGCTCGATTACCGAAACGT